TCCGTTTATGCTCCTACTAACTGCAGTTCGGATGGTATCAGAGACGATTACTATTACCATCTTTCCTCTCTTCTCCTCATGGCAAATTATACTTGCATTGTGATTGTTGTCGGTGACATAAATGCCCGAGTGGGTCGTCTTTCAGACTATGAACAACACCTGGAAGGATGCTTCGCAGTCGATGCGCGCCGAAAAGGCAATGGTGATTGGTTACTGCTACTGTTCGTTGACCACAATCTTTATATTAGCAGCATTGCTTTCCAGCACAAGCGTTCACAGCACGTCACGTGGCGCCCACCAATATCCTCATTGACCTGGACCCATATTAACCTTATTTCCATCAACTACAGATGGCGCGCATCATCCAAGACTACCGGTCAATTTTGAACACCTGCCTGAATTCCGACCATGCGCGCACGCTTGGCTGTCGCTTCTCCAGCTTCGGAAAAGCGCCTATCTTCTAAACTTCTTGCCTGTAACTTGAACTCGCAGTCTACAATTCGACAATATCATGACAAACTGGCCACCAATTGTCCGGGATGAATGAAGTTGGTGAGCCGAGTGCTGACCGCGATCATCTCAAATGTGCCATGAAGAATGCTTTTGACGCCTACTGTGCACTCAACTTGAGATGCCCTAACTTTGAATGGATCTCTGAGGCATCGATCAGTTTGATCGAAGCGCGTAAACGGATTCCGATAGGCACTGAGTTTCAGTGTATCCGTAACTCTGAAATCATGTCTGATAAGAAGTCCTCTAGTTGACCGGGAACGTTGGTGGGTTGCAAAGGCCCGTGAGATGGAGAAGAGCAGTGCTATTGGCAACAGCCGAGTGCTTATGCAGCTCATCCGGAACACGGGTACGAAGAAGTCGTCAGTTAGCGAGACAATAATTGGGAACGATTGGCAGTTGATCCACTCTCAGCGTCGTCAAATAGCCTGTTAGGTGGAACATTTGGAAGAGCAGTTCAGGTCTGCTGCAACATTGTCGCTTGCCGAATCACCTGAGTCGATGTGGGAAGTAGATGTCACACCTTCCACTTCAGAAGAGATTCAACATGACTTTATTATGTCAAAACAAAAGGGTCCTGAACCCGACGACCCTCCTCCATCTTTGCTGAAAGATGGGGGAGACTCCTTATTGTCTGGGCTTGTTTCTCTAACACTATTTTAAACACTGTAGAGATGCCTTTAGACTGGCGACTGTCTACTGTCGTTCACATCTCTAAGAAGTGTCAGCGTACTTTGTGCGAAATACATCGAAGCATTAGCCTTGTTTCCATTGCCTGCAAACTTCGCATGCGTACCACTCTTCGACGATATACCGGTTCCCGTGAGAACCGAATCACTGAAAGCCAGGCTGGATTCAGCTCTGGTCATGGTTGTATCGACCACATATGTACTCCACGCAAAGTTTTAGGACAGACACACATACAGACGACCGACTATGGTGGTTTTCCTTGCTTTGAAAGTCTCCTTCGACTCTAATTATTGCGTCAGCTTATGACACTGCCTATCCATAAAGGACGTCCCAGCTAAACTCCTTTTCATTATGCAGTCTCTCTACCGTGACTCCCGAGGCCCGTGGTAGGGTCTACGTGGAACTGTTTCCTGAGTCTTTCACGACAAGTAGGATTCGCCAATATTGTCATCTTTATCCTTTTCTTTTCAACTTTGTGATCCAATTGATCATGCATGACTCGGTTCTTTCAAACTCTGTTGGAGTGAAGTTCTGCCAGTGACCGAATGACAAACCTGTAGTATGCAGCCGACATGACTTTTTTGTTTATGACGCAGTGGCGATGCAAAGGCTACTAGTTAGACTGACGCGTAGCGCTGCACGCAGGCTGCCCTGCCCCTCAAAAATACAAAGTGCTGTTGCAGGACTGGGCTGACACACCTCCAGTTTCAGCTATTTCCGAACAGCCACCGGAAGTTGCGGATCCGTTCATTTATCTTGGTAGCTGCGTCACCTCGTTTGGTCACGTCGCTGAGTAAGTTAGTTCGCGTATCAGCAAAGCCCGTATGGATTTCCCGGGACTCAACCATCTATAGAAACTGCAGGGTATCACACTGTCAGCGAAAGATAGGGTATAAACACTGCGGTAAGGCTGCTCCTACTTCATGTATCAGAGACCTGGCCATTTCGCGGTGAAGACATTAAACGAACAGCCGTGTTTGACTACCGCTGTTTGCGGAGTACTGCTCATGTCTGGTGAGAACAACGGGTGTCATGTTGAGGTCCGCCAGTTGGTTTTTGGAAAGAAGCTTTCTGGTACCTCTCTCGAGTCGCTTGCGTTGGCTAGGCCATGTCCTCCGTATACCCGTTGATCGGCTTCCTCGGTGTGCATTACACGCCATGGCTGCACAACTTTGGACGAGATCGCGAGGTGGTCAGTCCATGACGTGGCATCGTGGCCTGGAGAAATTGTCTGAGAGGCTTGGTTAGACTGGTGCGTTCTGTGTTCGTGGATGGAAGCCTTGGGATGCTGCACACCAATGGTTCGAGACTGTATCACAGACATAGGACAGTAAGTTGTGTTCCTGCATTCGGCTTCTTGCACCCGGTTGTTAGCCTTCATTCCAATCTCATTAGTCTAACCCACCTCTTTCTTGCTTCCATTATCTTTACATTCTATTTGCATTCAACCCCACTATATTGCCGTTGTTATTTTTTAATTTTTTATGTGACTTGAGTCGTGGAAACTGGATCCACCGATCAGATTATAGTTGTTCAACTGAACTGAATTTTTCGGTTGCGAAATCCTATCTGTCCAGTAGAGAGATGTTAATGCATTTACTTCTTTCATGTACTGCATAGTTCTTATGCGAAATGTGCGTATTCCTCACCTTTGTTTTGGCGCAGGAAGGTAAATTGAACAGTTCAACACGGCTATTTCAGGCATCAGACTCCAGGGACTGGGCCATGTGTTACACATACCGGCATACTGACTATTGCGGCGGGCGTTGCTTGCTCGACCAGCGTGTGGATGGAAGAAATAATGGATCGGCCGCTCGATGAGTTGGTGAATGGAAATGAAAGTTCTCACCTCGAGCCTAGCCTTAGTTAATGCATCCCAACTACCCGATTAAGGTCCGAGTGGTGCTGAACACCTTTGGTTGGATACACCACATTGACTTGTTGAGGAATCAACTTGTGTCTTTTGTGAATGTGTTTCTTTGCCTCACCCTTTCCCGCTTAGTTTCCACCTACAGTCGCATAATATCTTTGTTGTTTTGCGTTGCTTTTACTCTTATTCTGCTCTTTTTTCCTACCGTCCATTTCTACTGCATCTTGGCAAAATAGCTGATATGTTTCTCACCTCTAGCTAAGGTGTAGAAACATGGTAGATGGCTGGAAAAATGCTGTAATGCTTTCACAGCTTTGCTCTTCCCGATAGACGTTTCCAGAGCATCACAGTCTGACATGGTTAGTAGTGCTTCTAAGCAGGCATCCTTTTTGCCTCATCTAATGTTTGACGACACTCGGGTATTTAACGGATCGTTGTGAATTGCTCAACACAACTGCGATATGAACGAGACTTTTTCGATCCTGTGTTGTACACATGTGCCATTAAACCTCAGTAGCAATGGGATTGCGATGCTCTGTAAGCAAGAGAGATGAAAGGAGCCCCTTGATAGCCAGCACATTCTGTTCGTCTACCTTTTTCGATGACGGGCACGACTACCGCTGACTTCCATTCTATCACATTGTTTTCAGTGGTCCAAAGCTGTTAGTGTAGCAAAGTTAACTGTCGGAGGAGGATAGGGCTATCATTCCTCATGGTCATATTCGTCTCTAGCACACCAAATTGCTACAGCTTAGAACATTTTAAAGTCAGTAGAAATTTCTTGGTTTACCAATCTTATCGAGCTCCCGTCCAGCAGCACTGCTACGCACGCGCTCAGCATAACGAGCCGCACGCGTATGCTCTGCGGCTTCGGATTTTGCGTCTCTGTATAAGCGCATGCGTGCTTACCTGCGGATGTTGTGGGTCGTTAGGACAGTTGTAGTGCCTTACTAGAGTTTTTTACATCTCTGTAAGACAACTGATACCGATCTGAAGTGTTTCCAAACGGTGACACGGATTGCTTTGATCCGATCTGCATAAGTGTCAGAATAAAGCTGAGGCTGAGAAGTGTTATTCAGACCACTGAACTCACCGCCGTAACCGAAAGTGGATAACAAGCAGTTGGATCATGTATATTTGATTGGTGAGCTCACAAACAATGTGGTGCTCATCAAGGCTGCTTATCCGCCATCCGTTGGTTAGACCGAGACTCTAAGATGCTGTCCCATGTTATTCACGGCTACTTTTCGCACACATGAATGAGGTGCGGTTTATTCGGTTGCTCCCACAAGAAGGGCATTTGATTTTGTGCAGCTCTGCTGTGCCACCGAATGGAATGGTGTCAGCGTCTCTTTGCACGTGCACCGTATCCGGCTCAAATCTCAACCCCGCGTTTCTCTGAGGTGTTTTCTTAGGAGCAAACAATACTAAAAATTTCACTGTTGCCATCGTTTCATTTACTCTTGTTAATTTTCGCCGATATTCTGTTCCATTATCTTACTGATTGTACATATTGCTTCCACGTGACCACACCACCGCTCGTCTTCACCCGAAGCAATTCACTTATTATGTCTAAGCATCCGAGCGCTAATTCGCAGTGAACCGAATTCAAATTATCCACTTGAGATGCTGTTTTGAAGTTCTGACATCTGTTGAGCATCATATAAACGATTGTTCACGTGTCCATCAACCTTTGCTTTGAAACTCCATTACTTGCTTATAGTTTTTGACTTGTGTCTATCCTCTGTCCACAAACCCTCCATAGTTAAGTTGTCATCCCCACCGTCTTTGCCGCATGGCTTCGCGGCCGTGGTGTTTTACGCTCGTATTTATCAGTTTTTAGATTTTTTGAAGTTTTGGATATCACAATCATTCACCACATTGTTCGCATCTGTGTCAACTTATCCGTTTCTCTCGCACCATTGTAAAGCACGAAAGTCGCGTCCCACTCACGGGTTTATCGTCGGTTTGGAAGATCCTACTCCGGTCGCACCCCGTGCCCAGACTTTGGAAATTATGTTGTTGCAGCCACCGGACGAGAAGGAAATCCTCTCCGCAGTGGAGGAGGTAATACACATCCATTCTTTTTCGAAACAGTGCATTTCATATCTTAAGCGTTCACTTTATTGTCCCGACTGGAATATCTTACAGACCTTTTCTCCGTTTCTTTTCCATTCAACGCGTGTATTGCAAATGGGTTATAATCCGTATAAGGGAAAAGAATGAAGATTTTCATCCTCAATTAAACCAAACGAGATACAGTCTTCGATGCTTTTATTTTTCAACATAATCACCATCAAACGGTGCTGAGGCGCCTATATTCCAGTGAAAAAGAACTCTTCAGATTGCGACTCTAAAAGCGCTTCTGCGGCTTAATGACGCCACTGTCGTGGTGCGCTGAGGCTGGTGGTGGCTAGATCCTGACAGATGGTCTACCCACTGCTGCTACTGTTGCGCCATAGTTTCATGTCCTGGGCGCCTCCACGTGGCGACCGCTGGGTGGGAGTTAGGTTTCGCCCTTCTCCCTGCTAAGATCCAGGACACCAATCCGCATGAGTCGGCTAACTGACCATGTGCTAGACCCGCTGCCTTTCGGGTGTTCATTTAATCGAAGGCTTTGGCTGAGGACCCGAGTCGTTCTCCTGTCAGGATTGGGCGCCCTGGCAGTATCCTAGTCCATCCTCTCCGGAGGTTAAGAAGTGGTCGATGGCCCACTTCCCGTAAAACCTAGCCATGGGAGACAACAGGTTACGGGTGATATTCTCAATGCTCGATTGGCGTAGAGCACGAGTGCCACGCATTGTCTCTGACGGTGAGAGGACACCTCCGGGTGTTCAATGGTTTGCTACTGCCCGCCTCAAGCCAGGCAGCCCCTGGTCAAATTGGTGCAAACCCGCCAAAAACCCACCTGCGTCTGGCCGTGGTCGCAGGTGCGTATCCAATTACGGTCGCAAAACATATGATAACTGTTCCAGAACCTCAAAGGCTGCGTGTGACGGCCGTCAAGCAGATCCCCATCTGTCTCTGCAATCACATTCCCGAGCTGGATCTGCTCTCCACTGCCTTGTGGGTCAGGCTATTGATCCAAAGGCTCCGGGCGGAGTCCCTCAAGCAAACCTCCAAACCACCCACTGCCTTGTGGGTCAGGCTATTGAGCCAAAGGCTCCGGGTGGAGTCCCTCAAGCAAACCTCCGAAGGACAACGACCACCTCGCGTGCGATTGCCCACCAATGCAATCGTATGCCTGCGCAAAGCACTCAGCATCGGGTGCTGGAACGTGCGCACACTACTGGACCGGAACTCCAGCGAGCGCCCGGAGCGACGCACTGCACTGGTCGCAATGGAGCTGGCGCGCTACCACATCGATATTGCGGCGCTCAGTGAAACTCGGCTCGCTGAGCAAGGTAAGTTACATGAAGCAAGTGCTGGCTACACATTCTACTGGGTGGGGAACGCCGCCTCAGCACCACGTGAACATGGGGTCGGATTTGCAATATCCGATCGCCTGAATGGCCAGCTGGTGGGTGAACCAACGGGCATCAGCGCGCGACTGATGACTGTTCGCCTACGACTCGGAAGAGGTAAGTTTGCTACTTTCATAAGCACGTACGGTCCGACCATGTGTTATCCTGATGACACGCGTGATCAGTTCTACACTGAGCTATCCTCCGTGATACGGTCTGTGCCGAAGAGCGACCGACTATTTCTGCTGGGTGATTTCAATGCGCGCGTTGGGCGTGATGCATCAGCGTGGACAGATGTTATCGGTGCGCATGGCATTGGTTCAGCGAATGCGAACGGTGACAGGCTGCTCTCACTGTGTGCCACTCACGGCCTGACGATCACGAACACTCGGTTTGCACTGAGTGCGAGTGATATAGCAACTTGGACGCACCCACGGAGTGGTCACGCTCACCTGCTCGACTATGTCATCGTACGTCAGCGTGATATGCGTGAAGTGCGCATGACACGTGTACTGCGTGGAGCTGAGTGTGGCACTGATCACAAGTTGGTTCGGACCAAACTGTACATATATTTTCGTAAATCGATGTATTGCACTCCCGCCGTGAATCGGCGTAAATTTAACATTCTCTCCCTCGGTACTGTGGCGAAACGTACTGAGCTGGAGAAGGCGATGGCTGCACGCCTGTGTGGTGATGTGGACTGTATAGCCACAGTGGGCGACCTGTGGCACCACATTCGCGACCAGGTGACAGCTGCTGCGGAGGAGTCCATCGGGCGCGCAAACTGTAAGCGGCCTGATTGGTTTGATGACAACAATGTGACGATTGACGCATTGGTGTCAGAGAAGAATGCAGCATTTGCTGCACATGTTGCAGACCCCAGTGACTTGGGGAAGAGTAGTCAGTTTCGCAAACTTCGACGGCGACTGACCCGAGAGCTCCGTCGCATTAAAAATGCATGGTGGACGGAGAAGGCGAAGCAGATGGAATGCTACGCCGAACGCCGTCAACACAAGGAATTCTTTGACTCCTTGAAGGCGGTGTATGGACCGAGATTGGAGCCGCTGAGGACACTGATCGATGGTAGTTCAGGCGCTACCTGCACCCAGACTGCAGACATAATGCAGGTCTGGCGGAAACACTTTGACTGTCTCTTGAACAACCGTTCAGAGATCGACTGGCCTACATTGAATGGCCTGAAGCAGCACGATGTGAAGGCGGATCTGGCGGATACGCCGAGACTGGATGAGACGCAGAGAGCACTTGCTCAGCTGCGAAACGGCAAATGTGCCGGAGGTGACGGGATCCCACCTGAAGTATTGAAACACGGTGGACCCGCGTTGTTGACTGCGCTGCACCACTTGGTGCAACGCGTGTGGATTGAGGAGGAGGTGCCTGCTGAGCTGAAGGATGCCCTTGTGCTACCACTGTACAAGGGCAAAGGTAGCAAGCAATGTTGCACGAATTATCGTGGCATCAACTTGCTGAGTTGTGTAGGCAAGGTGATTGCCCGAATCCTGCTCAATCGCCTCGTGAGTCAGATTGTGGAACCAAACGTGGCGGAAGAGCAATGTGGATTCCGTTCGGGTCGCAGCACTATAGATATGGTGTTTGCGGCTCGTCAGTTGCAAGAGAAGTGCAGAGAACGACACCAGCCTTTGTACTCGCTTTTTGTTGATTTCACCAAGGCATTTGATACGGTGAACCGCGAGGCACTGTGGCTGGTGTTGGGTAAATTTGGTTGCCCGCGTAAGTTTGTAAGTTTAATTGAATGTCTGCACTGTGGTATGCGAGCGACGGTGCAGCTGAGCGGAGGGACCTCGGATGACTTTACAGTTGTCTCTGGTGTGAAGCAAGGCTGCGTCTTAGCTCCTGCCCTGTTTAATATCTATCATCATGCAATGTTGTCTTGTGCTTTTGATGCCGCTTGTGCTTACGGTGTTCGTGTGGAGCACCGTATTGATGGTGGGTTGCTGAACATCCGTCGTTTCGGTGCGGGAACTCTAGTCTGTGAGACAGCTATCCGTATGTTGCTGTTTGCTGACGACTGTGCGTTGTTTTCACACAAAGCGGATGAGTTGCAGCACATGACTAGTGCTCTGGCTTCGACAGCGGCCAAATTCGGGCTCACCATCAACACAAGCAAAACTGTCTGTCTCTTTCAGCCTTCACCGGAGGTGCAATCTTCAATATTGCCGCAAATCAGCATTGGTGCTGAACTATTGGAAACCACCTCCCGCTTCTGCTACCTTGGGAGTGTGATGTCGACTGATCAGCAGCCACACGTTGAGTTGCGTAATCGCGTGTCGAAGGCGGCAGCAGCATTCTGGAAGCTTGAGTACCGAGTGTGGAACGACCATCAGCTTACCATTGGCACGAAGCTGATGGTGTACAAATCCATGGTACTGTCCGTTCTTCTATACGGCAGTGAAACGTGGACGATGTACCGGCGGGATGTGCGATATCGCGAGCGCTTCCATCAGCAGTGTCTGCGACGAATTCTGCGGATCGGCTGGGGCGCCAGAGTTGCAGACACGGAAGTGTTGCGCCGAAGTGGGATGTATGCAGTGGACTGCATACTTTTATTGAGACACCTGAGATGGCTCGGTCATGTGAGCCGTATGGATTCGACGCGGATACCGAAACAACTCTTATACGGTCAGCTGAGTATTGGGAAGTGGCACGTGGGGAAACCAAAGATACGTTACCAGGACATGATTAAAGTGAGCCTCACACGTTCTAATCTTGATTGCAGATCATGGGAATCGAAGGCGGTTGATCGGCGTGCGTGGCGCGATCTAATCACGAAGGCAGTTGCTGAGGTGCGGGAGAAATCCCTCATGCATGCAGAGAAGAAGCGGCAGTTGCGGAAGCGGCAAGCACCGATGAATTGTACTCCATCGACATCCAGCGCATTGTGCTGTAGAACATGCGGTCGCGAGTGCCTTAGTCAGGCAGGCCAAGTGAGCCATGAGAGATGTCACTCGGGACCACTGCCGAAGCGACGACGGGTCCCGCAGTGAACGTAGGCAGCACCGGCGCAGCGTTTGTAGGCACGCTGAATTCGATTTACTAACCGCAGGCTTGCATGCTAAGTCACTTTATTTCAGGTGGTGGATTTTCAGTTCTCTCTTAATTCCTTTCTTTCTCATATAAATATCTAGTGGGCCATGAGCTAGGTCCTTTGGGACCACTACAGAAGCGACGACGGGTCCTGCAGAGAATTACGGCGAGCCGGCGCAGCGTTTGTAGGCACGCTGAATTCGATTTACTAACCGCGTGCTTGCATGCTAAGTCTCTTTATTTCAGGTGGTGGGTTTACAGTTTTTACCTTACTGCTTTTCTTTCTCATATAAATATCTCCCTGTACTCTATTCCGTTAACTTGCACACATCGCTTCAGCCAATTGTATCCGATTTCCATAACATTTTTGTGTTCGTGGCACACCGTGAACTATACTTCCTGACCTCGTGCACTTAGCTAGGATGTGGTTGTAAACAACTTATTACGTATGCTGTTTAATTAAGGTTTATGTCACCGTTTCCTTATGCATTAATCGAGTTTTTCTCTTTTTCTCTCTCTCAAGTGATTGGCTGTTGTTTGATATCCCCGGTGTGGCTGCGCTTGATGTGCATGTTGACAAGGTGCCTACCTGTCTATTACCCACTACGTCGTCCATACTGGCTCCAGGAGACAGTTGGTCGTTGCTGGAGGGGACGGGGTGCACGGTCCTTGTGGCCGTGTTAGCCTCGAAGAGTGGTT